TATGAAGAGTGTCGGCCATCTTAAACGTTGGAAGTCCCGGATATCTGTCTCCTTATCGCGAAGAGGGGAAAAGGCGCGTGGGGACGAGGGAGGGGGGGGGGGTTATCTGCTTCAGTCGCGAATCACGGTTTTCGCCATGGCCACGATGATGAAATGTTGTCATATACTCCCTCTCACTCTAACTCTCCCTCAGGCATGCAATGAAGTTTGAAAAAAAGTCTCGCCAGAAAGTGCTAGGATTCGATTTATCTCCCGAGGCTCCGCACCTGTATAGAAAACGCGCCCAAGGAAGCGCGGCTACATCTCCCTCCTTTTTACTGTTTTATTTCATTTATTTCTGTTTTTTATGATTATTAAAAGTTTATTTTGAATCGTCATTTGTATCTTTACAAAAGAATTACAGAAATAATGTATTATGAATGAGCGAAGAAATGAGAAATTTTCACTTGTACTTCAAGTGTATTTCATCATTATAGTTCTTTTTATTTCTTTTACATATTCATTTTCGCTATTTTTAATTCTTCTAATGTACTTTTTAAGTTTAATGAGTGAAGTGATTCCCATCCTTAACTAAGTTCTTTTAGCGCCACGAGGTCAAAGGCAACAGACATGGCAACAGAATGGTCTTTGGGTCCTGGTGAAGAGCAGTCGTTCGCAGAAGAACCCAGAGGCCTTTCCTAAGACAAGATAAGTCGTTGTGAGAAAATCCTGAATTAGGTTGCAGGTGATATTTCTGTCAATTCAGATAAGCATAGTGATTGACAGACCGGTGCTTTGCATATTGTTACTTAATGTTTTATGTTCTTGCGTTCATGTGTTTTATTTTTTTTTGTGTGTGTGTTTTGTATATGTTCTTTGTGTTTTTATTTTTCTAAGTGATTTTAGTGTTTTATGTTTGTGTCCATTTTAGTGTTTTATGTTCGTGTCCATTTTAGTGTTTTATGTTCGTGTTCATTTTAATGTTTTATGTTCGTGTTCATTTTAATGCTTTTATGATCGTGTTCATTTTAATGTTTTTATGTTCGTGTCCCTTTTAGTGTTTTATGTTCGTGTCCCTTTTAGTGTTTTATGTTCGTGTCCATTTTAGTGTTTTATGTTCGTGTTCATTTTAATGTTTTTATGTTCGTGTTCATTTTAATGTTTTATGTTCGTGTCCATTTTAGTGTTTTATGTTCGTGTTCATTTTAATGTTTTTATGTTCGTGTTCATTTTAATGTTTTATGTTCGTGTCCATTTTAGTGTTTTATGTTCGTGTTCATTTTAATCTTTATGTTCGTGTCCATTTTAGTGTTTTATGTTCGTGTTCATTTTAGTGTTTTATGTTCGTGTTCATTTTAATGTTTTATGTTCGTGTTCATTTTAGTGTTTTATGATCGTGTTCATTTTAATGTTTTATATTCGTGTCCATTTTAGTGTTTTATGATCGTGTTCATTTTAGTGTTTTTATGTTCGTGTCCCTTTTAGTGTTTTATGATCGTGTTCATTTTAGTGTTTTATGTTCGTGTTCATTTTAATGTTTTTATGTTCGTGTTCATTTTAGCGAAGAGTCAGATTACTGTGTTTACAATATACCCTCGTAGTCTTATGAATAGAAAGAATGAGACCCCAGAGGCTGTAAGACGGAATGAAATGTAGATTAAGTTATCAGAAAAGTAAACATCGTCACACATCGCGTCCGGGAAGTTATCATTCCCCCCCCCCCCCCACACACACACACGCGTCTCCTTCCGGTGAAGACTAGCTTGGCGAGCTCTCGCACACTATGTATGTGTGTGTGTGTGTGTGTCTGTGTGTGTGTGTGTGTGTGTGTGTGTGTTTGTGTGTGTGTGTGTGTATGTGTATGTGTATGTATATGTATATGTATATGTTCATGTAATTATATATATATATATACATATATATATATATATATATATATATATATATATATATATGCATATATACATATATATACACGCACACACGCAAGCACGCACACACACACACACACACACACACTCACACACACACACACACACGCATACACATACACACAAACACACATACACAGACACACACACACACACACACACATACACACACACATATATATATTCACACACATACATGTGTGTGATCATTGTGTGTTCTAGATGAAAACATTGGCATTAACTTATGTGTGGGTATGTGTGTGTGTGTGTGCGTGTGCGTGTTATTTCCCTGAAATATTAGCCAAATCTCTTAACGAAATTTTCGAGAAGTAGCTCATTCCTCATAAAAAAAAAAATTATCAACATTTTCTTTCTTTTCTTTAAAGACGATATTCCCAATAAAATTATCCTCTGTGTTTGAATATTAGATATTAGTTCAAGTTTACAGCTAAACAACCTCCCCGACTCAAATCAGTAATTAAACCCTGTTACCCAACAAACTTCTTTCGTTAATAGGTCTTTGAACAGCTAAACGTCATATATTCTTTCAACATATATAAATAACATATATGTAAATTAACCCATTGCCG